TTAAAAGTGAGAGTAAGCAAAATTATGCTTTGATCAGCTTTTTTACTCATTTCATCGTATCAGATTTTACCCCACCATAGTTGGCAGTTTTTTCGTAGCTCATGTGACTAAAGCTTTTTTACCTGATGATTAGCTTTTTGTGGTTTTGGCGTTCGCTCTTTTGAAATTTCGTTTTCTCTTACTAAATGTATTACTTACCTTCCACTGCTTGTACAGTTTTTCAATTCACTTATTAGCAAAAGCCTTACTGCTCTTCAGTATTAAACTAGTAACCAGTCATGTAGAAATTTTGATTCTCATTGAAGAGATATCCAGAATCGTACTGAAATGTGACTGTATGGCATTCAACAATAATTTTGGTTTTGTTACAATAGATTTTTCATTGGTAGAATACGCTATAAGACAATTCGGGATGGGAGAAGAAAAAATGAATGGTGTTTCTCAGTTTTTCCCATGTTTTTCTGTGCTTGTTTTAATTTTATCTATTCATTTTTACTTTCACTCACTTCACTAATTAAGTAATTTTCTTGGAAATGTCACAATCTTAATAATATTAAAAGGGTTGTGATATTTCTTAAAAAATTATTTAATTGAGCCAAAACGTTGTTTTACGCTAATTGGGCCTTAACGTTCTGTTTCCGTTTCATTATAACATAGTTTTTACTTGGGTGCTAATCATTATTCACTTTTATTTTTTTACTTTCACGAGTCTAATTTCTAGTAAATCGCTTATCCGAATCAAATTCCTGGTTTCCTTTTCATTTTTTTCCCGATCCCATCTTTAATTTTAAATTTGCGGTAATACTTGATAGTAAGATGAGGTTTTTCTTCCGTTATGTTGTAAAATTAAGGTGCTTTCGGAAGTGACTAAGGGCACAGTGGGGGCAGTGGCACTGGACATGCAGGGACATTTGGCCGCAGGTTCTTCAACTGGCGGTTTGTCCGGTAAAGAGCCTGGGAGAGTTAGCGATTCGAGCATTTCAGGTTTGATATGATTTTCTTGTAGAATTTCTGCAGTCTTTCGTTTTGTGATGCTCTTGCAGTAATGAGATATTAAAGGCTGCATGCAGGCGAATGGATACACTTTTTGTTACTGGGTAATTTTGTGCGTCGAATTTTTTGGGTTTTTTGGGTTATTCGTACTAGTGATCAGCGGAATGAAAGGATAGTTGGATAAGTGTTCAAAATAGTGGCAAAATCTATTTCACAAATTAAATACCAGAATAATCTTAACAATTTGTTTTCCTTTTTTTTTTTGAAAATTTATGAGTATGATTCTTAGACAGATAAATGTACATGTGAAAAAACTGCGCCGACGAAGTGGTCAGTTGCTTCGACATTCGCCAGCAAGTTCGGTCATTCATTACAGAACATATTGCTAGAGTGTCGTGTGTAGTACAGGCTATATTAGTAAAAGAAAGTTTGCATTTTTCTTCAAAACACGTTATTTTTAGGAGCTGGATTTTATGCCGATCGACGTATTGCAGTGAGCGCGACGGGCAACGGCGATGAATTCATTCGAATGTCGGCTTCAAAGTATAATTTTTTGCTCATTTCCTTCATAAAAACTTCTATTTTTGCTATGATGGGATTGATTCATGGTACCTAAAATGTTGTCGAAACTGGGTCCAGGCTCTTACTGTTTCATTTCCATCGAATGTCGCTTCACGAAATTACCGTATGAAGATATTTCGTCGTTTCTACTTTAAACTGATACTGCCGCATACCAATTCATCCGAATCCCGAGTAGCTTGCCCGTAAGCAGTTCAGCGAATCCTCTACTATATAAATAAATAGCAACGCTCATCGAGCTAGCCGGTG